AAGATCAGCAAATTGAAACTGTCCAATCCTAAAAATCTCTTGGTTTGCCTTGACAGTAAACTAAACTGGAAGAAGAGTCCAGTCAAGGCTATTTTCCCTGAGAAAATTTTAATTCCTTGATGTCAGCAGAAACTTGCTTTATACTTTCATCAAGGCATTATAGCCCTTGTTTTTTGTTTTTTTTATGCTGTGCTTTGCTGTGGAGGCAGAATTACCGTCAACGATAAAAACTGGATTTATAGGTTGATTAAAAAAGCTGGCTCTGGGATTGGCCTTGCTCCTGACCCACTGGAGGTCATGGCAGAAAGGAGAACAAGTGCCAAACTAAAGAAAGTTATGGATCTTGTAGACCATCGACTTCACAGTGTATTTACACTTAGTAGTTCCTTTAGTGGCCGACTGAAGAAGCCCCGGAATTCTACCAATCGGGCTTTTATCAGCAATTTTTTATGAATATTTCTCATTTTGATTTTAAGGTTTCCAGCTGGCCCTATTTGTCAGCTGTAATCAGTCTTAGAAGGCTTTTAATGGGTGTATCGTTTTTAATTTCTTTTCCTGCATGCATGTACCAGTTTTCTTTTCTGTTTATGTTGTATATTATTTTATGTGATCTGGTGGCAACAGAGTTTACTCCATTGCGGATTAATAAAGCTTTCTAATCTAATCTATACTTATGACAGGCTTCTAATGGGACAGGCCTTTAATAATTTCATACAAAACTCTTTCTCAGCAAAGAAAAAGTAAAGGGACTCTGCATTTAATTGGGGCTTGGCTTTTTAATTGAACTTTTATGGTATACAGGATAAAGGATTAAGAGAAGGAAAAAAAGAAAGGTTGTCCTTTCAAACATGTAGGGACATGTTCAGTCCACGCAGAAGATAAAGGTTTGCGAAATGCAGAAATTCAATTGTTCCACTGTTCCCTGAAAACCAGAGTCATGGAAAAGTGTCTCTTTAAATTTGCAACAAATGTTCCTCTGTCAGGCAGAAAAGGCCTGTTGTTTCCACCCAGTGCCTCACTGTGAAAAAATGCTGAGTGGATGTCAGGTACAAGCTTGGACATGTGTGGACAGTAGAGTCAGTGCCGACCGACCATCAAATAAAATGAGATGAGACAAAAACAATGAGAAGAAATTTAATATCTGTGTGCAAAGATGATTTGTGCCTGCATAACTGGTTGCTCAACATGTGTTACCTCAAATGTGTGTTATTATTTTAACAACTGACTTTCTGATAAAGCACAATAAACCCTAACTGTATATGCATTAAACTTCTTTCTTTGACAACTTTGGGTAAGAACGATACTACAATTTACCTAAAATTGGTCACATATGACATTAAATATATTGAGAGATGGGTTGCCTGTTCCAAATCTTGAATTATCTAGGTAATTATTAGAAGGTGAAGTGAACTAGTAAGAAAAACACTTAACTGATGTATACCGGCTGTGTGCCCAACATGACAAGTTGGCTGAACAACCAAGCTGATGTGCGTACTGTAAATCACTTTCTTTATTAAGAGCATAGCAGGGAAAAGAGAAGTATTTCAAGGGACAGGGATCTTGTTTTACAGCTGACTGGTAGGTAAAATATGAACTTTGAAACCAGGAAGAAGGAGGAAGGAAAGGTAAGCATGTGAGCAAGCAAAATAATTAGAACAAAACATTAACGACGGGACTGCAAAAACAAAACACAAAATAAATGAAAGACAGAGAAGGGAGGGAGGGAAAGATAACAGAAAGGGGATTTTGAAAGAACATTTTAAGGAAAATCCATACATGAGTTGAGTGAGTATTGACTCATGCCCTATCGCCCTCCTTGACCCAGTTTTAAAGAGGCATAACAAGGCAGGGCAAGCCGAGCAGAGGCCGCCTCTGTGTAACTGTGAGCGGGTGGAAGAGATGACTCAGCTGAGCTCCAGCAGTCTATGAGTAAACACTAAGATGGGCAAATAGACAGACCCACTTCAGGCTTTCAGTATCTGTGTGAGGAGGTATTATCTATCAGTCATCAATATTCATTCACCCTGCCTGGGACTTATGTATCTGACTATAATGCTGAAAAGGAGCAGATTAGCTTTGTAATTGTACAAACACGGTTTTGTTCCTTAATAATAGTAAACTAAGTCCCAGTAAAAAGGCAAGAAATAATTAGCTGAGTAATATTACATGTACACTATTAGGCAAAACGTATATGGGCACTCCTGCCCACATACTGTTTTGTACTCTTGGTCTGTGGCTGGTTTTCATGGTTTGGGCCCATTAATTCCAATTAAAGGAAATGTTAATACTGTAACAAAATTATATTGTAGACAATAGTTTGCTGCAAACTTTGTGGCAAAGATTTGAGGAAGGTCCCTACTTTTGGCCATATAGTGTACAGTGTTGCAACAGACACTGACCTTCCATGATCAAATGAACCATACAGTAATCTTATGGTAGGCCTACTCTTGACAGGTTAGCCAGCAAACTGACCTTTAACCATCATAAACACCATTAACATACATATCTGTCTTTGTCAGTGGGCTACATTTTGATGAACTTTGACCACCCTCCTTATCAGTTTGTCATTCAGGTTTGTGGTTTTACATGTATACTAACTAAATGAAAACAATAGTACCTTCCTTTGCACAACTTTGCACTGTGGTTTAGCTCAATCACCAATCACACACCTGTTTTGCTGGCCTCCCAGCATTTCCATTAATTGTGATATTAATTGAGATTTGTTTTGTGTTGTCAGGTGTAACCTAGGCCATATTTAGTTTGGTATTTTGTGACCACGTTAAACAAATAACAAGACACTCTATAATAAAATGCGGTAGGAGATTTAAAAAGTTGGACTGTATAGGCCTAATGACAATACATTTCCAAATGCTCTGTAATTTTGTCATAATAACGTTAACAATAAAAATTGTCATGATCATCATCATCATCATCATTACCTAGCACTGGTCATGTCCCCTGCCCTCCTCACCTTGCTGGCCTCCTGGATGAGTCGGCGCACCACCTCCTTGATGTGAGGTCCGTTTTCTTTGGGCGGGTGTGTGTGCACAGCCACCCGGGTTACCCCTTTGAAGAAACCCCCGTTGTGCCAGCCGATATCCAGCTGCGGCACCTCGGTGTCCGACATCGCGGGCCAGTAGGTGGAATGGACCCCCGAATCCGCATCGGTGCCAATCGCTCCCTGCTCGGATCTAGATGGCGATGCCTTGCTGTCGCTGCTGTCACTGCCCAAGTCATAATGTCTGAAAGTGTTCATCAACATTTTGACTTCTCTGGCAGACAAAAAGTCTTTTATGTTGTCATCTTTAAGTCGCATTTTGAAGGCGCCATCGCCGTTCTTGAGCAGCTCCTCGATTGCCGCGCGCTGCTCCTCGCTGTAGTAAAACTCCGGTTTGGACTCCGGGACATTGGCACCGATGTGGCCATCCTCCATGCACATGAGCTGGGATTCGGCCATGGCTCCCCTCCTGGAGCTCACAAACTCTCCCTGTGGCGTCTGTTGGGCGTTAAGCTACCTACGTGTGACGCCATACAGGTAAAAATAAAGCTGGGAAAGTTTTCTTACCTGGCCGGGAGAGAGAGAGAGAGAGAGAGAGAGAGAGAGAGAGGTGGGGCCCGGCGCTGAAAACCCATGCTGCCTTCAAGTGCAAATGGATTAAAGAGTACTAGAATAGCTATATATTGCTGTTGTGTGCTGTCCAAATATTTGGACAATATGTATAATATTTTATATTTTAATGCTTTGGCAACATTGTTCTTGAAACTTTGAATTTAATCGAATAGGCATACGCTAAGGAGACTTTCAAAGTTTTTAATTGTAGCCTTGAGTCAGTTATTGATGGTCATTGAATTGATTTGAATTTGTCCTTTTCTTTAAAATATTTTATTTTCAATACATAAAGCCTGGTTTCCATATTCTCTTTATTCTGCCACAATGTTTATATAAATAAAACACATCTGAACCTTAAAATGTTTCTTTAAAAAAACGGACTAATAATAGACCTATATAAAATGTCTAATCAGAAGAACTAATTTACAGACGGAACTGAAGGCAGCAGAAGTTTCCTTGAAAAGGGTTGGTTGTGTGGAAACGCATAAGGTTGTGGAGTTTATTTTCTTTTCAAGGCTTCCCCTTGTTCATGCTGCAAACAGACCAGCCCAAGTGAGCCTATTGTCTATTCAGCATTTCAAAAAATCTTGTTTGCAGACATGATCACAATACAATCATCTCGGTGGTTTAGGTATTATGTTTTTGCAGAACATTTTCTTTCATGGAGGTTGAGCAATCAGTTACAACGTCAAAGGTTCCACAATTAAAACATTGTAACATGGACTTTGCTGTATTGTTATCATGTTGTTGGCATAATGTATCAAAAGAAAAAGAAAAACTCCTGCATTCAAACTTTAGTAAAGGTACAGAAGTATTAGCAGCACAATGCTATAGCAAATAGTTTATTGACACATAAAGCAGTTACATAGCAACATTATCATTCATTTGAAGTCCTGTTTTTGGCCACCTGATGGATGTGTCCAATTCAAAACTCTCTTTTAGCTCTGTTTTTGGTTTCAACCAATTCCTGAGGGAAATATCTTGCTCTTTAGCTGCTAAACGTTTACCAGCTAGTCTATATGTGTCTGTGTCCTGTTTGGTGCTGAGCAAGTAGTGTACAGTAATGACCTTAATACCTTTTTTTTTGCTGCAAATAACACTGCAAGAGCAGTGAGAGTGAACCAGAACACTAAAGTTGCAAACAACAAGCTAAACGTCACTCCTTTAAGCTCCTTTAATGGAAGGGTCCTGCAGATTCAGGTGATAATTCTCTGTAGGTTCATCACTATGAGGGACACCTTTCACATTGTGACATTGTTTTCACATTGTCATTTGATAATTGTTATTATAAAAATATTGGAATCCGGTAATATCGGTTACTTTAATCAAAAATAGTGCATCATCTTGATCAAATATTTTACATGTAAATCTTAACTTGAAAAGCACAAGTAGCAATATGTAGTGGGGGAAGTACAATATTTCCTAGCCTAAAATGGACCTGGACCAGGTATATCTAAATTGTACTTATGAACAGTACTTGAGTAAATGTACTTAGTTGCATTCCATCACTGGGCAGGACAGGATAATGTATGAATCATTATCCTTTAAAAAATGAATTGTCAACACTCTATAATAGTGCTCATCACTTCTTAAATTCAAAATATAAATCTCTGAAAATAAATGCTATTGTTGAAATCATAACTGAAATGGGTACCTACAGTACATGACCATGAGATAGTATTGCCATGGGCTTTGTTATAAGTTATTTGTAAAAGCAGACACCACATTTTCAAATATTTTGTTAAGGATTACTATCTGTCTAAATAAAATATCCTGACATTGACAGCAATATGTAAACTTTAATAAATCTTTGAGAAGTCCTTTTTGCAGCCAAACAGTTGTCCTATTATATATCTCTTATACAGGATGCCAACAGTATGTTTGCCATGACGAGAACAGAAATTCCATGTGCAGAATGTGTGTGTGTGTGTGCACCTAAACCAACAAGTTAGTCCTCTTTTTTATTCTCGACAGCTGACACTTTCTGTCACATAACACTTTGCTGAGTCCTTTGCTGCCAGTTTAGGGTTGGGACTTACTGTAAGTAAAGCTAAAGTGGCAAGAATTGACATTAAACGTATGTTTGGATACAAAGTGTTTGTCTCTGTGAGTTCCTCTCAGATAGGTTTGGTGAAGTTGGAGGGGAACAGGCCTGTTTTGCCCCTTAGCTGGCCTTTCCACCAGGTCTGGTCGGAGCGCTCCAGGACCGTGATGATATCGCCGGCGTTGAACTCCAGCTCGTCTCTCTCTTCAGCATGAAAACTGTACAAAGCTATGACCTTGAGCGTGGAGGAGGCTGTGTGCTAGGTAAAGAGAAGGAGGACATACACAGACAGACAGAAAAGATAAACTCAGTCCATGAACCAAATGTCATTGAACATAACAGGTTCATCAAAGATCTTAAGACATATGACAATGTCATACTGAAATGTAGATTAGAAAAATGAAGACAAGTAATAAAAATGGTACACTTTTCCTTGTTGCAGCCCCTTTTAAGCTGTAGAGGGACAAACATTTTCTTTAGTAATTCATTCAAAACCATTATTTGTCTATGGTGTAATTTGGGGTTGAAGCAGGAGCTCGCATTTTAAAAGAAAGTTGAAGTCATCTAACCACTGTAGCAAGCTATCATGCACACACACACACACACACACACACACACACACACACACAGGGTATCTTAAATTAATTTGATTTCTTGACTTCTATAAGGCCAAAGTAACCTACACATGGACAGGGACAAACAGTATGTAACCACAGCATCAGTGTATGCACATACAGACACAGTGCTGTTGAGTACCTGTTGTCGTGGGGTTTAGGTGGGCCGATGGAGAGTGGAGCAGTGGGGAGAGGAGTGGGGGGAAATGGCGATTTGTCTGAGCCCCCTTTATGCTGTTGGAACACAAAAACGAACTTTTTTAAAACTTTCTGTTTAAAATGAAACTCCTTAATTTGAATAAGTTTATTACTACCATGGTTACATTATAATACAATAGTGTATGTTTCTATTATAGTAGTATAGTAATTAAATAATAATTAAATACATAAATATTCAAATCCTTTTACAGTACATTATAATTAGTGTATGTTTCTTGACTCCATTGCTCATATCAGGTTTCCACAAGCAGGTTTCCTACCTGTTGTTGTGCCTCTTGTAGGAATATTTCACTCTGTTTAGAGATAGAGTTGTGTTTGTAATGTTCCACCAGTTGGTTGACGAAGGGAACTTTTCTGACCAGAGGTAATACTGCCCACTGCTGTCCGCATCACCTTGAAGTGCAGCACATCTGCTGCATGTCTACAGTGGAGTATAGTGCAGAGAGTGCTTTATTTTGTCTTTGTATGCCTTTCTTATGTCATGAATGGCCCAACAATATTTATGAATCTGTCTGTTGCTGTGAAAATGTGAGATGCTGCGAAAATGATTAGTGAAGGAAGTAAAGGAAAATACCCAACAAGTTGTACATTTCATGACTGTAAAGATGACATAGGATTCATTACAGCCTTGGAATGTGCAAACATGAGACAATTATTCCGCTTATGCCCTGACCACTTGACAACAAAATGCCATATGTAATCAATTTAACAATATTAATTGTTAATTTTACAGATAACTGTAATTTTGTCCTCACTTTCTGTTTTAAATATCACAAAATATAGTTCCTGGGGCTCAGATTTCTCTTTGCTTACACGGCAACATCTTCCTAAACAGGATAGGGGTTCACAAGGTTGGGCTGGGAGTTTCAAAATCCTGACATATTTTTGAGAGAGAGAGAGAGAGAGAGAGACATTTACTGATTGCTGTTAATTTAAAGAAAAGAGAATAGCGCTACTGCTGCTAGCCTACATGATATTAAAACTGAGGATGTTACCAAGTGCTCTCTGTTTATTTTCTGTGTGGTAGCCCTATTGGTCACATTCCTCCTCCTACCATTATTCAGTTTGGATGTCTCAATTCTCACAAATACCAAATGGATTTGAAATTTAATTAGCTAATTGTTGTAAAACTTGAGTAAATGAAAAAGATGGCGACAGTGTGTGTGGCCAGCCGTCACTCACTGTCAAATTTGCTTGTATATTTATTGTTTGTGTCACTATGCAAAATATTGACTCTGCTGGTCTATGATCGCCAAACGCTGCTTGATCTCGATTCTCTGTGGAAACATTGATCAAATATGATCGGAGTGGGCAGAAAACTTTTCTTCCTCCTTTGCTGTCAGAGATACCTGCTCACCTGCCAGTGCCCCTGTAACACAGTCCTTGGACCCCCCATGCCCCCCTCTGAACGAAAAGTACAGCAGCCCTATTGAATAGGCGGCCGCGGGCCACATCTGGCCCCGAAGCAACCTCCATGTGGCCCAGCACATAATCTAATAGATATGAAAATAAAAATAAACTATATGTATGGAAGTAGCTAAACCTGCCATAAAATGGATCCCCCCTTTATAATGCACAGATAATGGCCTACTATCAAGTATTTAATTGTGTATACTTCACATCATGACTAATAACAGGGGTGAATATGGAGACATTTGTTGTTCTTAGCAAAAGTTATAGTGGGATACAAAATAAAAACTGGGATCTAGAGAATGTCTAGAACACTAGAGCTTCTACTGTTCATTAAGCCTTTGTGTTGCATCAAATAACGTACTGTAACATGTTTTTTTGTATAATGGAATTTATTAAAACTATAACTAAGTTACTGAAAAGACCCTGTTACTGAAACAAATAACTAAGTTACTGAAACAGACTAAAACAATATTATATCTACTAAAGAAGACATTTTGAAAGCTTGAACATTGCCTTTTTTCCCGGATTGAATGTGCCCCGCTGACAAAAAAACTGGCTCCAGCCTGGCCCCACAATAAAATTGGTCTAGAACCGCCACTGCCCTGGACCCTGCTGACACCTGGCTGGTCCCTGTTGTTGGCCCAGATGTGGAGGCCCAGCTTCCTCACGCCCCCCGCAGAAGTGGCGTTAACCACAGATATCTTTGGTCAAGTACCTCGGATGGCCAGTTCTGCCGCTCCTGTCAGAGCTGCCCTGGTCAATGCTAGATCGTAGTGAATAAGACCTTCATCTTGAATGACATCTTTTCCTGTCACAACTGGGATTTCTTATTCGAGGACTCTCCGAGGACTACTGGTCGAAGAGGTGGACTCGCTACTATCTTCAAGAAAAATACAACTGCAGACAGCTAACACTGGCTCACGTTTTGAACTAACCGTGTTTAAATTGGGTCAATCTCAGCCGGTACTGTGTGCAGTTAGCCTATACAGGTGCTGGTCATATAATCAGAATATCATCAAAAGTTGATTTATTTCAGTAATTCCATTCAAAAAGTGAAACTTGGATATTATATTCATTCCTTACACACAAACTGATACATTTCAAATGTTTAGTTCATTTAATTGTGATGATTAAACTGATCAATTTTCTGAGATACTGATTTTGGGGTTTTCATTAGTTGTCAGTTATAATCATCAAAATTAAAAGGAATGAACACTGGAACTATATCAGCCTGTGTGGAATGAATGTATATTTGTTTCTGGTCCGACACAGCTCCATGGTCATACATTAGACCTTGTTTTGTCATGCAGTGTACCTATTTGTAACGTAGACATATACGAAGCAGTCTTCTCTGAGCACGTCCCTATTTTATTTGACGTTTATCTTCCCTATCAAACCGTTAATCAATACACTCCACCTCATATCTGGATGATCAAACCCACCATTGCTGCTCGATTCTCTGGTGCTTTAATATTGCTAGAGAGGCTATGGAATCCTCTGCTTGTCAAAATACAGCGGAGTTGATCTTTTCTTTTTATCCACTTGTTGCAACATTCTTGACACCATTTAAATCTGAACCTTGGATAAATGACTTAACTCAGGCTGCTAGGTGAGGTGTATGGAAATGGGAAAAAGATAATCGAAAAAAATAATATAATAATAAAATAATAGAAAAATCTCTCTTATTTCAAATAATATTTCAAATATTTAAATAATTGCCACAAACCTCTTGTTCTTTTTAGCACAATTAACTCTGTTCTTAATATTCCCTAGTCCGTCTATCATGAAGCATCCTCTGAGGCCTGTGAAAAAATTCTCCACTGTTTTGTGGAAAATACTGGATTCTGGAAACACCAGCATCATAGGTTTCCTAGTTACTAAAAGTTAATCCACATCTCCCAGCCAGTCAGAATTAAGAGTTCTCAGTGGCCATGGCATAAGAGAATGCACAACACTGACATGAAAAAGGCATACTTTAACAGTGAAGAAAGAAAGAAAGAAAAAAATGAAATATAATAAATCTGCATAATCTGTTGTACTTCTGGCACCATGCTCTTACCTGATATGTACACTGATGTAGTTGGAAGCACAAAAGAACTACAGGTGATTTGAGTTTCTCTTTCTAGCCTCTGGGTAGCCAGGAGCTGATAGATTTTTTCGAGCCAGAGCATATGGCATATAATAAGAAATACAGCAAAGCTGAGGCTGAGAGAGGCCAAGACTGTTGCTGAATCCATGCTGACCCTGGACTGCAGGTAAAAAATCCTCATTAGATCATTTCAACAAGAAGGAAGAACTATAAAAAAATCTAAATCTTAAATGGGATACAAATAGGCCTAGCATTATGCTAATGCTATTAGCACTATATCAAATTTGCTAGTAATAAACTAAAAACGTACATATAATTGGCATCAACCCAAACTCTAAGGGCTATCTCTACTCCATTTCACTAACCCCTACATAAATCACTCTAAATACACATCTGTCTATTTGGAAAAGAGTTGGAAAATTTCAAGCTGTGAAAAGTTATGCACAAAAACAGTAGACACACACTGAATGCACCTGACAGAGATGGAGAAGTCACTCAGGGCTGAATGTCGGCTACTGCGTATAAGGAAGGCCCCTGTAGGCTGTGACATCAGCTTCTGCTGGGCGTCTGTGCGACTACAGTCCTCCTGGTACCAGCTGGAGTGAGTGAAGGGAGGAAGAAAATGACGGTTTGGTAGTAATAGTATAGCAAAGCCCTTGTTTATCTCAGTGACCATTTGTTGAGTGTGATCTGATGACTATCTTTCCACTTGTACACAGTCTAACTATAGTTTAAAAATATAATTTAAACTTCAAAATGTATTTCCCTTATGAAACATCATGCTGATTCCTTTCATGTGTCATTTCAACAATAGAGACTATCTCTGTATACTTTTTATGGGAGTTTTACCTGGGCAGATGAATGTTGATGAAATTTTTGGGTACAAACCCCTCAACTCCATTAAGTTCTGCTCTGTACCAGTTTCCAGTGGTCTGCAGAATCTGACATAGTGGGACACAATCACATAAGACACATTCACATCGAGTTCGATATACTACACATTACATTCACATAATACTGATTTGGAGATGCAACTGAAATAAAAAAAATAAAAAGTACATAAGAGCATTCAGTGTCATCTACATTTTGTGCTGCAGAGTGAACTTATTCAGCACTTTCAAGCTAATGATTCCCTATCTGACCAGACTCTCTATATAATTCAAATGGGTGTTTTATAATTTTAATATAAGTGATTTGTTTTTTAATTAGGTTTTTTATTAATCAGACCTCTTTCAATCAAGTGCCAGTTTTCTAACTCCAAACACCAGATGCATTAGTTACTTTGGCCCTATGCAAACTGAAAATTGTGTGTGTGTGTGTGTGTGTGTGCTTCTGATATGCAGTTAAGTTACTGTGTGCATTTTAATGTACGGCACAATGAGCTTTATGTACACCTAAAATAAAAATATTACAATAAAAGGAATATGCATTTTCAATATTTAAATTTTTTATGCAGTCAAGTCATATTATACTGTTAACTGCAGTAACTGATTAAGGGGGAAGGATCATGTCTATAAACATCACTGTAACTTAACAGAAAGACTTTGTGGTGAATGAATTTGTAGTTTAGATATAAGAGTCACAAAGTTCCCCCTGGTTGCCAGACTCATCTCTCACCCTCTGGTGAGAGGAGTTTGCGTGCTTTCGCTTGATTATTGTTCCTAATACTTGTACTTACTCATCACCTTTGCTATCTTGTTTGATACATTTTGAAACACTGTGCAAACAGGAAATGCATTTGTATTTTTAGCAGCAGGATGTAATTTCATCACACATTTTCATAACCTGTACAAACTATTGAGAAGTGCTGTAGAGAACAATGACACGACACAAAAGAAAGTTTTTCCTTGCTTCTGTCGCCTAGTGCTTGCTCTTGGTGTGAATTGTTGGGCTTCAGTAAATAACATCATAGACTACGGTCTAGACCTGCTCTTTTATGAAAAGCGCTGTGAGATAACTGTTGTTGTGATTTGGCGCTATATAAATAAAATTGAATTGAATTGAATTGAAATGTTGTTATTCACGATAACCAAGGAAGGCTAAAATCAAGGGCAACTAGACTTGGTTGAAGACCTTGATGCCCTTGATTTAACTTTCCTTGGATAACTATGACCTGGATGACTGAAAAACTTCACAGACATTTTCCCAAGTTATTCACAATGTGTGAATGTATTGAATTTCCGGTCATAGGTGACATGTAAAACATAAACATTCTGCCAGCAAATTAAAGGTTTTTCATATTCATAACTAAAAAGGTGTCCACTAGGTTGCTGAAAACACAAAGTAGGAACTATGTAGAAACTTAAGGTGGGTTTGGTGAGTGTGTTGTATGGCCTGTGTGTATGTTCCTTAACCTTCAATCGCGCTGCCTTTCTGAAGCTGAGTTCATCCTGAGCTGTAGCTTCAAAGTCATACTTGGCTGTAGCCTCCATGGTAAAGCAGCTAATGGAAAGGTAAAAAAAAAATAAAAGGTATGAAGGCGTACGTGTAGGTTTACAAATGGTAAAACTGAAAAAGCATTGTTATTTTATGTATCTAGTACTTTTTTTTATTTACCATATAGTGTAGCCAATTAGCTGATCCTCCTAAACAACAAAATTTGAACTACCCAGCTAAATTTGGGAGGAAAGGTAACATTTTATTAAAGAGGTATAGGTTAAATTTATATATAACCACTGTTTGAATATGAAACAGATCTTGATTACAGGGATTAAAGGAAACAGCATGGAGCTGCACCTTGCTAGCCGAAAGGTTCCATGCGACATAACAGCAACAACGTGGTTTGATTGGTACTGTTGTAATACTTTTTTTTGTCTTATCCACAGAAATACATTGCTAAATTTATAGTCCAAAGCAGCACAAATTGTACTTTAACCTCTCTCCTTCATTTTTCTTTTACACACATTAAAGAAATGGATTTGGCATCTATCACAAGCTTCACCTGGACTCTATTTCACGGAAAGAGCAAGTGGTCCAGCAACGTTGTACAATCTGTACAGTAGGAGAAAACCCTGTGACAGTTCTGAAAACAGCAGGCGTACAAACCATAATTCAAAATGACAGTCTGTTGCTGTTTATGCCACATTAAAGGGACTGAAACATTGTGTTACTCACCGTGTATGTTGTTGTCCCTGCAGTGCTGAGATCTTACAGATTACGAAGAGAAGTGACAAACTTGCTGTATCTCACAGGAAGCACAGTCAGAATGCAGCTGCAACTCTCTGTTGCTGCTGACCACTTGTACAACGTCACAGGACCTCACACTTAAATACACAGGTGCAAAAAAGTTCCAACTTACGTGTACAAAACAAATGGTGTATGAAACTGAAAGCAATATTTAGGTCTAAAATAACAGCATGACTGGAAGCTGAATCTTTATATTTAAGTGTTAAATATACAGTGCAAAGGTTAACTGCAGCTGTTGAGCATTAAAAACCCTCACAGCTGGCTAACGGATGTTAAGGTGACCTAAGTTACTAATTGGATATATATGTGTCAAATATTCACATCTGGAAATACACTGGCTAAAGGTGTGAGGGTGTAATGACAGCTACACCCTCACACCTTTAGCTCCAATAACAGTGTGACTTTAGGGGTGGCAATACTGATTTTTACAAACAGGTTGCCACTCTTCGTAGTGACAGGTGTTTCATTTGTGGTTTGCTGAATCTTGCTGTAATGATTATGTTTGCCACATGATGGCACCAGACTATAAGACAAAACATACACTATTATAGATATCTCTGTTTCACAAACAATTAAGTAATACAGACAAAAACTTCTCCCAGTCTCTAGGATATTGAGAGGCGACATTACAGGACATACAAGAAGGTTCTTTTTAATGTCCTTATCTTTAGACTCAAGTCATTCAGGTCTCAGTGGAGCTCATCTATTTATTGGCAAGAGGCATCTGATTTATATTTACATATCTTGACATAGTCAAGTCAAGTTAATTAAATATATTAAATATAAATACTGTTTAAATTCACATTATAGGCTCACATCAGACCTCATTTTAAGAAGACAAGTGAAGCCCCCACCACCAGGTCGAGTAGGAAAAAAATAAAGTGTGTGTGTCATGCATGTGAAGCCTACCAGGACAACAGTGTCAGTATCTAATCTGATCTGGTTATCTGAGCTAAATGCTAATTTATGCACACTAACATCCTCATAATAACAATGCTAACATGTTGACTTTATCAGGTATATGTAAATCACGTTTACTGTTTAGCAGGTTAGCATGTAAAAATATTCTAATTAGCACTAAAGAAAAAATATAGCAAAGGCTGATGGGAATGACATTCGTTTTTGCTTGTATAAAACAAAGTATTGGGCAACTTGATTATAGAATGAATGAACGTCTCTATCAGAGTTCATGGCAATCCATCCAACAGTTGAGACATCTCACTCAAAACCCCAAATGTCAACGTCATGGTGGCACTAGAGGAAATGTCAGGGGATCACCGAAGTCTTTAGGATTCATTGTCGGGGGGCAGGGTTGGGAGCAAGTGTCATTTAAGAAAAGGAAAAAGAGAAGGCAGACTAGACAGAGTGAGAGACAGAAACCTAAAGTGTTGGAGGTGAGAGGAAGCAGAGACGCAGCCAGTGGCAATGCAAGCAAATACTGCCACCCTGCAACACCCTCTCCCTCTGATATTCACAGTCGGTCTCAGTGGTTGGCCTGCCATGAATGCTCAGATCCCTGTGTGGTGTTCAATGGGGATTTGATGCTGCAACAGGGCTGAAAAGCAAATGTGATTTTTTTTTCTTTTTAAGTAAAGCAGGCTCCAAGCAATCAACATTCCCACTATGAGAGCGTTGATGAATGGACTCCATGTACCCTCATAAATGTTTCTGTGTGTGTTGTGTGGGTTTTTTTGTGTTTCTTTTTTTCACAGTGCCGCGAGAATCATTTGCCTCTTGATACTGTTGCCAAGGTGACCTACAGCTGTACGTGCATCTATTGTTATGCAGCCTATTATGCAGCAAAAGGGTACAGGTCTGACTGTTAAGTAAGATTGTCGTGTGTGTGTGTCATTGACTTTAATGGCCTGAGCTCATGAAATATCTCATCTAGCTTCATGACGAACTCATAAAACTCTTTAAACAGGTGGAAAGGACTCGTCTATGGATCAGTGCTGAGCTGCCATTCACAATTAATTCACCATTAATGACCCAATGGACGCTGTTTGATGTTTAACCATTTTGTTTAACACTCTGCGACACTTGCATCTTTTAGGTGTCGAAGGACATCAAACTCTGGAGAGGTGAGTGAGTGTAAATGGAGCAAGACAGATATTTGACAACAGTGACACAGAGATATGATAAATATTCTGTGAGCAAACACATTTCATTCTGTTTACCGTACCTAACTCCGTTCATCTCCCTCCTCCCAAACCTCTGTCCAAGCCTGAGGAGGCAGAAGGAGTAAAAAGAGCGAGGAAAAATTCTGACTTTTGAAGTTCTTCGACAAAATGGCTCTCTTAAATTCTAAAAGGAAAAAAACATACACTACCGGTATTTCAAAACAGCGAGACCTACAATATGTCTCAGCAGCACTCTATAGTTTTCTTCTAACATCCCTGACTATAAATGTTAGAAGAAACACCTGAGCTCCACAGAAAGAAGCATGATAGAATCTCCATATGCAGATTTAAAATGGAAAAGGAATCTTCAAATCAAAGTCAGTCAAAACTGTCAATTTTTGCAAAAACTGGATGGTAATTTGGTGATCAGTGGGCCGTAATGAAAGCAGATTGATAAAATGGTGGGCTCTTTATTTTCCTTATACTGGTATCATTTAACTATGCAATCCATCCCCTTTTTTATGGAAATTCACACATCCAAATAAGAAATGTATGTGTACACAAGTGTACAAAGTTACAAATGTTTTTGGAAAGGTTAAATCCTCATCACAGGTTCACATCAGCAAGCAGCTTTGTAAAATTACACATCTATACCTGCTTTAGTTTTCCAGTTTTCCTTTCAATAACCCTCAGTGAATGAATGTAAACTTGCTCGATTACTGTAAAGAAAAAAATCTACTAGGAAAAGTGTATAAGTTGCTCTTGCTCAAAAGGCGGTCTTATCATGTGGATCGTATTGAGGCTGAATTCCATTCTGGTATTCTGAACGTCAACAAAAGCTTTGTCTCACTCTCAGATTTCTCTAGTACCATATATAATGTCACTTCTTGTTATACCAGCTCCACAGCTAAGCAGCACATCAGCAGCAGACATTTGTCTATCAGCAAACTTGGCAATTTTTCTCTTCGAAGTAGGTGAATCTATCTTTGTGCTTAACAGATAATCATGGCACCAAACACCTGAGAAGTAGGTAAGGTAAGCCTGTCACTCAGTAAAGCACTGTAATGTATGAATGTGATTCTAAAACGT